CGGTGCAGATGGCGTCTCGAGGCCAGCCTGGAGGAGATCCATCAAAGGATGGGGGCTCCTGCCTTCGGGTCCCCCCCCCCCAGGAAGCCAACCTGTTGCCAAGCTGTGGCCTTCTCTGGGGGAACGAAGAATGACATGAACATAAGAACTCGGAGGTCCCGGCGGATTCCTCGGATCCGCGCTGGACCCCATTGGCGGCGCCTCCGGCGCCCCCCCTGGCGCGCTCTGCGCGCCAGGGAGGGGGTCCAGCGCCGATCCGAGAAATCCGCGCGGCCCCCGACTTTTTATGTTTATGTCATTCTTCGTTCTCGGGCGTTGGCAGAACTGGGTTTAGCGGAACCTGGTTTAGTGATATGTACCGGGGGAGGCCCCCCCGCGCCCCGTTCCACTAAGCGGAACTGCCGTCACCCGAAAAACACCATCTACGGCAGACCTGGTTTAGTGATTCTGGCCAATTCAAAGGCTCTGGGGCCCTACCACTAACCGGGTCCCCTTACCTGGGTCCTGGCTATACCCGACGTTCCCCTATCCTTGCCGATGCCTCCTGGGGCGTCCAGGCTGCCTCTGGGGGGTCTCGGAGAGAGAGAGAGAGAGAGAGAGAGAGAGACACACAGACTCGGAAGCTGGGCGAGGGCTGGCAAATCCGTGGCTGCTAAAAAGGTATTCTGGGAAGAAAAAACGAATTCCCATAATAAAACTCAACGCACTAAAGAATAAACGGGCTGCTTCCCGGGAGAACAAGCAATTTCCCGGAGATCCGTTTTAGCAGCCACGGATTTGCCAGCCTTCGCCTGGCTTCTGAGAGACAGAGAGAACGATGGAAAGAGCGAGAGACACACGCTGACAACAATGTTTACACCAAACACAACACAGCGACTGCGAGGACAGCGGTGGGCAGCACATCTTGCCGCTTCGACCACCCCGCCTTGGCCGGCGGCCAGATTCACACGCGCGCGCCACGACAAAAAAACAGAAGCAGATACGCTGCAGCGCAATGCGGCAAAAATACACACACGCTCCGCCCAGCGCTGCGCGCTTGCGCTACGAACGCGCACGCCTCCGAGCACTGATGCAGCAAGAAAACAAGTTGCGCGGCCGCTCGCCGTTGGGCGTTTGACCCTCGACTGCTCGCATCGCCAGGCATTCGAAAATCACTGCAAAATCCTGCGCATGCAACTGCGAAAACGAGCGCCTGACCCTAGCACTGCCGCTCCAGAGCGCAGAGAATACAGAGGGAGGAGCGGACAACCACGACAACGACAACGAAACGGGAGAAGGGCGAGAAGTGCAACGCAGCAGCAGACCCTCCGAAACCACCGTCTCCACCCGACTGCGGCGGCCGCGATCGCACGCGAAACCCATGCCAAATCAAAACAGTCCACGGCAAAAAAAGAAGCAAGGAGCGAAGAATGGAGACAGGCAAGCGGGAGGAGGGGCAGAGGGAGAGAGAGGGCAGAAGGGAGGGAAAGATGGGAAGGGAGCGAGGGAGCAAGCGAAGGTGCCGGAACCGGCAGGACAGGGGGAGCAAGGAGAGGGGCGGGAGGGAGGCACAGGGGGAAGGTGGAGGGTGAGAGAAAGCAGGAGAGGAGGAGGGAAAGAAAGGGGCGAAGGCGCTCGACCTGAACATCGTTTTCCGTTTTCGTTTTGTATTATGTGTTCTTTGTTCTGTTTTCGTTCCGCCTCTGCTGTAGAACGTCATCAAAGCGAAAACGGTTCACGAAATCGCCATAACACCGTCTAGGTCGGGAGCTGGGTGACATCCCATAAGCCGTTGCTCTTTGGGCGCAGGTGGTTTAAGAAGCTAGATCTTCCCTGGTATCTTCCTCCCTCTTGCCTATAACCCTACCCCGGGTGGTCGCTGGAGAGCCCAAATTGGTGCAAAATGGCCAAGCTCCTACTCCAACCTCCAACCTCCAACCTCCATTTCCTCCTCCTCCTCCTCCTCCTCCTCCTCCTCCTTTTCCTCCTCCTCCTCCTCCTCCTCCTCCTCCTTTTCCTCCTCCTCTTCCTCCTCCTCCTCCTCCTCCTCCTCCTCTTCCTCGCGAGCGAGCGTAAGCCTTGCGCCGGACGGCGCGCGAGCTACAGCAGAGGAAAAGCATGAGAACAATAGCGCAGGGCTGAAATGGGACAATATGTAGATGCACATTTCTGTGAGTAATATTGATCTACTGTGCGAAAGTTAATCGATTGTGTAAAGGTCGCCCCAATGAGAAATGGGGATGTTGTTCTCGTAGAAGACTTGCACCCATCGGCGAAACACAAATCCTCCCCGACTCTTGCTTTTTCCCCTGTAGAAACCTCCCCAACTCCCAAATCCTCCCCAACTCTTGCCTTTCCGCTGTAGAACCCCCTCCTATCCACAACTCCTTCTCGGCTCCCGCCGTTTCCTCTGTAGAATCCCCCCCCAGCTCCCAAATCCCCCAAACTCAGTTTCTCTTCGGCTGAACCCTCCCCGAACCCCAAATCCTCCACAACTCATGCTCTTTCCTCTGTAAGATCCTCCTCAATTCCTAAATCCTACCAACTCCTGGTTTCTCCTCTGTACCATCCCCCCCAACTCCCAAATTTGTCCCAACTCCGGCTTGCTCCTCTGTAGAATCCCCCGACTCCAAAATCCTTCTGAACTGTCGCTGCTACCCACCCGAATCCTCCACAATTCCAAAACCCTCCTCTCCAAGTCTCGCTTCTTCCTGTTGTGGAATCCTCCCCAAGCCCCATGTCAGCTCCAACTCTTGCTTCTTCCAAGAAGAATTCTCCCCAATTCACAAATCTTCCCCAATTCGTGCTGTTTCCTCTGTCGAATCTTCCCCAATTCCCAAATCCTCCCCATATCCTGCTTTTTCCTGTTCCCCCACATCCAAAGTTGGGCTCTTGTTCTCTCTGGACACCACGGGCAGGAACAGGAACACACCCTCCGTTCTCACCCACACGCTCATATCATCATCATCGTCAGCAGCAGCATCACCAGCATCGTAATCAGCACCAGCATCAGCATCAGCATCATCATCATCAGTATCAACGTCCTCGCCATCAGTATCAGCATCATCTTCATCACCACCATCATACTCATCAGTATCATCATCGCCGCACCATCATCACTTACACACTCGCACACACTCCCATTATCCAACTGCTATTCATCACTACCCTAACTCACTCACTCACTCACTCACTCACTCACAACTAACATGGTTCCCTTTGCTCCCCCTCCGTTTCCTCAGGATGCCCTATGTTCCCGAGGTTCCCGTTTGCTTCCTGTGACAAGGTAAAGCCTGTGACTTTCGAAGTTTGTGCATCCCCTGTTGTCTCCCTCTGCTTTCCTCAGGTGCCCTTTGCTTGTTTATTTCGTTGACGTTCGATCCCTATGTTGCCATCTGGTTGTTCCGCGCGAAGTAAGACCGAATGAATAAGAAGAGTACAAGGTGCGCATGTTTCTCTATGTCCCCCGTCGTCATCGGCTCTGTTCTTCCATTTCCCTGCGGCTCCGCACATGTCATCTGCTTCCTGTTCCATATTAATCACGTAGTTCCCCTGCATGTGCACGGCACATTTCTACCCATGCGCTCGCGACCGCTGGCGATGAACACGCGCGCAACTCTGCGCCCCCATATGCCCTCCGTTGTTCTGGTTTCCCCATGGCGATGAACACGCGCGCAACTTTGTGCCCCCATACGTCTTCCGTGTCCTTGTGTTCACATGCGATCATATGACGCACGCTGTTTCCCTTGGATTCCCTCCGAGAAGGCAGCAGTGGTAACCTCCGAATTTTCGTGGCATCCTTCGATGCCTTCAGTTCCCCATCTTCCCCAGGGACGCCACATGGGAAGTTTGACGAAGCAATGTCTGGAGGTGGTTGTTTCATGTGCTTCCTGAGTTTGCCTGTGCTGCCCCCTGCGTTGTTCAGTCTCGCTTTGTTCTGTTCTGGTCTCCCCTATTGAGCTCTGCCGGTTAGCATTTCCCTCATGGCCCCCCTCCTCGTTCCCCGCATTTTGCCCCCATGGTTCCCCATGCCCCCGCGCGCGCGGGCGCTCTTCCCCAGCGTTCCCACTGTTCCTCGATGCCACCGCCACCCCCCTCCTGCACACGAATTACTCCCAAAACAGGAGACACGAATTTCCGGACATTGATTTTAGCATTCCAGCCTCCATGTTTCTCTATGTTTCTTTAGGTGCCCATCCGTTTCGGAACGCGTTCCCCCGCGCCCGCTCGCGCCGCCCAATCGCCCTGAGCCCCCCTTCCGCATAGAGAAGGTCTGACCTGCAGAGGCTGACTTCCCCGATTATTAAGTTTGTCGATGTATCCTTATGTTTCGTTGCGTCCTTCTGTCATGGCTGTCTTTCCTATGTTAGCCAATGTTTCCGCATGATTGCCTACGCATGGTTCCTTATGTTGGTACACGATTCCTGTTGTTTGTCGTTGTTCCCTCGAACCCCCTGACGTCAGCGCCAACCCCCTATATCTCTTCGTTGTTCAATGTTTATAATGCTGTCCATGATATGTTGTGCATCCCTGTGTTCCATCACGTCTGTCTGTGTGTCCTTATGTTTGCGTATCGTTCCATAATTTTGTCTCTGTTTCTCGCTGCATGGAAAAATCAGAAATGATGATCGGGACTCGATGCTATCTCGAGCCCCTGATGAGCTATGGCGGAACCCCCCGCTCCACACAGCCCAGGCCTCTCTTGGGCCACGCACCAAGGGCCTCTTTGGGCATCTCCTGCACGCCAGGGCCCGCCTGGCCCTGGCTTCACACTGAGAGCCTCGGGAGGGGCCGCACTCTTACTCACATGCGCACGCCCCCGCGGCGCCTCGTCCGAGGCGGCGGACAGCTCCTTGCCATGGGCCTCAAGCTCGCCCTTGATCTGGCCCGCCTCCGTCTCGAGCCCAGACGTGGCTCGCGTCTGGCAACGGGGCGAACCTCGGCTGCTGGTGCTTCCACTCGCACGCACACGGAGCCTGGCTCATCTTGTCGAGCATGATTGGATGATTCGCATTATTCACCTTCGCTTTCCCGCTTGCGACCGGGGCGCTGTTGCCCTCCTCGCATATCTTCATCGGCTTGTCCGTGTACTTCGCCCCGGGTGGCCCCATCAGCTTCCGGCAGCAATACCCGCGCGCAACGCCGCCCAAGAACACCACAACCATGACCAGTGTCATGATATGCCCCGTGCACTCGTAGATCGTGCCCTGGATCGCCGCTGCCACCAGGTCTGTGGTGTGGCCCTCGGCCCGTAGCTCTCCACTGCGCACGTCGACGCCGTCGCACTCTCCGCGGCCCCCTGCGCCAGCAAGGTGGCCAACAGGCCTCTCCTTGCCCAGCTCCTGCTCGTCGCCACCGAGCACGCCTCCAGCTCCTTGTGCTTGTCCATCTCACTGCAATCGACGATGCCCGCCAGTCCTCGCAGGCACTCGAACCGCGCCACTGGATGGGCCTTCGCGCCCAGGTCGGCTACATTATTCTCACCACTCTCCTTCTTCACGATGAGACCGCGCACCTTCCGCTCCTGTTGGACCCACAACGCCCCGACGTCTAAGTGCTTCACCTTGCCAAAGCCTTCTCTGTTGATCATCGCCTTCGCCGCGCTGCTGTCGACCCCCAGCTCCCAGGTCACTTTGTAGCCCAGCCACCTCAGCGCGTCCTTGACCAGCCTGCCGCCCATCACCACCGAGGCCGCTCTGTAGAACTCCGACTCTCCAGATGATGTTGTCTGGACTCCCTGCCTCCTCGCGAACGCCGCGAAGTGCACCCCGTCCAGCTTCGTGACACCGCGGGCCATCGCCCTCCGCGTCTCCTTGCACGCAGCGAAACCTGTGTCCGTGAACATATGCAACTTCACCTCGCCTGGCTTGCTCGCCGCCGGCCCTTTGAGCAGCGCGCCGTACGTCTTGGCCCCCCTCTGGTACCTCGCGAGCTTCACCAAGCGGTCCCTGTCGAACTCCGTCGGCTTGCTCAAGTTCCGCGCCAGCAACTGCACGCCCCTCTGGATGTCTGCCCTGTCGGGGGAATTATAAAGATAGATCCCAACACCCGTGCGGAACTCCGCCTTCTCCACGTCATCCTAGTCGGGGGTCCAGGTCGGGCCCTCCTCCGTCAAGCTCGGCACCTTCGCGGGCTTCGCCTTCTACATGCCCACCACGAGGATCAGGTCCTCGATGTGCTCGACGTTCGGCCCGAGCATCACGTCGCCGTCCACGAGCCTCAACCTGCCCCGCTCCAAGTGAAAGTAGCGCCCCTGCCCGATGACGCCCGTCGCCCTCAGACCGAACATCCCCCTCAGCCTCTCGATGATCCCGCCCAGGTCCCAGATCTGTCCTTCGCCGTGGAGATCGCCCATGTGCACCTCGATCCGGATATCTTTCTCCTTGCGGCGGTAGAACTGCGGCTGGCACTCGCACCTCTCGAAGCCCTCGCCCTCGAGCGTCTTGGCCGCCTTGTCTACCCACCCAGCGCCTGCCACACGCTGTCCAGGTAGCATCTTGTCCAAAGCCCAGACGATGTCGGTAAATCCCCCCATCGCAGCCAGGATCGCCAGGCACTGTGGCGGCGGCTCCACGCAAACCTTCTCCGTCTGGCCCGCCTGGCAACATGCCTCCACGCGATCCGCGATGAAGGTCCCGTGGCTCTCTTCCTTGACGCTGACGAAGTCCACCAGTCTGCTTGTCTGCGCTGATGAGCTCGCCGCGAACGCGTCGCCCTCTGATCCATCCACTTGAAGTCCTGGGCCACGCACCTTCACTTGCAGACACCTCCGCGCATCTTCGGCCCCCAGCGCGCCTCGATCATCTTGAACAACCCGCTCTCGCTCCACGGGATGTCTCCGCGGGCGCCGCAGCGCGCCAGCACTTCCCACGCGCCCCGCCCCCCTTTGAGCCCCACCGCGGGCTCCAGACCGCAAGTCGCCATGTAGGACGCCGTGCCCACTTTGTCCAGGATGCTGTTGTCGATAAAATCATGCAGAGAGATTGCGTCAACATGCCTTGCGCGCATCCCAGGTAAGCCGAATTCCTCGCCGTCCGCGGGTCTAACCTGGCCCCGCGGGGTCATCGGCGCGCCCTTCTCCATCGCGCTCTCCTCCTGAGGTCCGGCGGCCGCCGCTGGTTCCCCTCCAGGTCCTGCCGGTGCCCATGGCGGTGCTGCTGCGCTTCTTGCTGCCGCATGCGCCCCCTGGTTGGGCGCCCCCTGCCGCGGCGCCGCTGGCGCTGCAGCTACTTCTGCCTCTGCCTTCGCCTTCTGCTCCGCTGCCGTCAGGACGATCGTAGGTAGAGGTCGCTGCATCATGGGCAGCAGCTCGCACGACTCGGCGCTCCGCGCCTCCCAGGGCAGTGCCTCCACAACCTTCGTCAGCTTCGCGTCAGCCCGCAACGCTGGCTCCAGCCTCCCGCAGGTCCTCGCACGATGCCACCCCGCAGGCATCAGGAATAAGTGATCGTCGCTCTCCTTGCGCTTCCCCTTCCAGATGCCCTACACGAAGCTCGACTCGCCCTCGCGCTTGAGCGACGTCGCTGTGATCTGCCTCGCGCGGGGGGTCGGCACCTTGAGAGCACCGTCTCCGCGAAGGGGAGAACATCGCCGTTGTAGGTCACTCCGAATGTTCCCTGATGAGATGCCCTCCTATCGGCCCGCGGTCTGTACGTAGAGGTTGCCGGGCTAACGTATCGCGCAAGCCAGCACCAGATCGGCGCGCCCGCTGTGATCTCCATGCCGCAGCGCTTCCCCAAGTCGGACATGTACGTCCTCACCTTCGCCTGAAACCATATGATCGGAGCCTCGATCGCGCCCATGCTCTGACTGTCCTTCAGGTTCCCACGCTTCTCCTCCAGCTGAATGCTCTTGCTCACCTTCTTGCGCACCTCCTCCACCGCGGCCAGGATCGTCGGCTCGCCGTCCGTCTTGATGTCCGCCGCGGCGAGATGCATGCCCTCGAGGAAGCTGCTCACGCTGGCCACCGCGTAGTCTGTGACCGCCATGGTCGGCATCGAAGCCGCGACGAACATCAGCGCAACCCCGTCTGCCATCACGAGCGTCGTCGCGAAGATATGCGCCGCTGGCGGGCCTTCGCTCCCGATCTCCGCCCAGTCGCCGTTGGTGTTCAGGTAACAGAAGTCCAGGGTGATCTGCGCCTCCCCCGTGTCCTTCTGGTCGAAGGTGAGCGTCTTGCGAGCCTTGGTCGTCTCTTTCCCTCTCACGCAGGCCTCGCACCATGGAGCTCTCGTGAGATGCAGAAGTTCGCGCGCCGCTCGCTCCGCCTCCGCCGGCGCAGCTGGCCCAGCGACTTCGAGCGGCGCGATCGAGAGCCCCCCCTGCACGGACACCTCGCGCCTGCGCTCCAGCTCCTTCATCCGCGCGCGGTGCGCCGTGAGCCTCCGCTCAGCGTCGCTAAGCCTCGTCCGCAAATCGTCCTTTCTGCCGTAGATCGGCTGCCACAATTCCTCGAGCCTGGCCCGCAGGTCCTCCACGCGGCTGTCTAGGTGCAGGACGATCTCCCGCCCCTCACGCAGCACTGCGGGTTGCCGAGCTACACGTTCCAACCCTTCTCCTGCCGGTGGCAACTCGGGTCCGAGACGCGCCGCTGCAGCTGCCGGCGTCGCCGGCGCTGCTGCCGCCACGCCTCCACTGCCAGAGGCCCCAGGCGACTGCACGAGCTCCTCCTGCTGCTCGTTCGCGCTCACGCTGGCTGCGAACTCCTTCGCCTCCGTCGTCGCCCTGAAGGTCCTCGCGTTGAAGCCCAGGGTGTTGTTCTTCCTGGTGAGCGGGATGCCCCTGGTGAGGTCGCCTCCTGGGCACATGCACACTCCCGTCTTTGCGCCCAGCCAGAACTCCGCACCCATGTCCATCTCTTCGAGCAGCGAGAGGATCGGCGTTGATACCGTGTGGCCCAGCCTGAAGCCTGCCTTCAGCAGCTTCGTCTGCTCGTTGTCGTCGTCGACGGCCATCGGCGCCGTCGCGACGGCGCCCATCGTGATCTCCTGCCTCTGCGCGCCCAGCAGTCCCAGCCCAGTATCCGCCACCTGCTTGCAGCCCTCGCCGAACGCGATCGGGCCGACGTGGCAATCGCTCGCCGTGTCCAGCGCGATGAAGGTGGCCCCGTCTAGGCCCATGCCACGGAACTCTGCGTCGCTGTCCTCGGCCTTCATCGCCATGCAATAGAGCTGGTCATCGTCGCAGATCTCGCGCTCGAAGTCCGCGCCCTCTTCCTCGGCAACCGTCTTCGGATCCGCACTCCCCTGCTCGACCGCCGCATTCCCTTCGGTCTTCTAGTCGGCAAGACGCTTCCTGCAGTCTGCCTTCTCGTGGCCGGGCTTGTGGCAGAAGTCGCACTTGCCTGTGAAAGTGGCGCTGTCCTTGCCCTTGCCTTTGCCGTCTTTGCCAAAGCTCTCGCCTGTTCCTTTGCCGCCACCCCCCTGCTCCCCCTTGTCACGCCAGTAGCAGCCCCACGCTGCGAGGCTCGGCCTGTTGCAGAGCTGGCACTTGTCTTCGCCGCCCTGCTCCCCTCTACGCCCGAGACACGCAGAGCAGCGAATGTCCCCGGCGCCACGGGGACCTGCCGCCTGAAGAACCACACCGTCAGATCTCCACGCGCGCGCGTCGCCCCCCCAGAATTTCCCTCGTCTACGGGAGGGAATCGCGCAACGGCAAACATCGCGAATGAACGGATACCCAACGCCGAGACAGAGACGCACTAAGATCCGGAATAGCAGCAGATCCAGAGATGACCGGCGCAAGACGAAGAATAAGCAAACGTCGCGCAGACTTTGCGACCACCAGTCACGACCCCCACCACTTCCTCGCGAAAACACCATTTGCTCACCTCTTCCCCTTCAATCCCAATCTAACCTCCTCCAGCTCCACCTCGGTCGTCGGCCCACCTTCACGTTCCCCCGCCCCCCTCCATCCCGACGTCGCCCCCCCTTATCGCGCCCCCCTCGCATCATTTTACGTGACCACACGCTAAAACAATTTCAAAACCACACAAACCATCCACATGCCTCGGGTTGAAAACCAGAGCCGCGCTGAGATTTCAATTGCAAGGCAGACGCGCCCGCCCGCGATCACAGCCGCCGAGGCGACGACTGCGACTGCCGCGTCGACAGCGACGAGGACAACGCAAACAAACGAACGACGACAACGATAGCGCCGACGGCAACCGACGGCTCGCGACCTCCGAATAACAAACTGCACCCCCGACGACGACGACAACGACGCAAGCCGCACCAATCAGATCCAACCCGCGCCTCGAGTTCACTGCCGAAGACAATCCTTGATTCCACGTCCACGGCAAACGCGCCCGTCCGCGAGTGGAGCGTCGACAACGACAGCGACGACGACGACAACGAGGACGGAAGCTACAGCATAAACAACAACAACTACTACTACAACAACAACAAAGACAACAACAACAACAACAACAACAACAACAACAACAATCACTTTACCCGAACGCTCAGTGTTCTCACCAGTGCCAGGGTTTTCATGCGACGCCAGCCAATACCCCCACTTTGTGGGGGGGCAGTGCAAGCACTACCAAATATCCACACGACTCTTCGCCACCACCCACACCCAGCTTCCCGCCCTATGACGTTCGGACACTTCACTTCGTGGCCTGCGGACGACCGTGGCTACTACACTGGCGTGGAGTACACACCCACAGAAGTTGTTAGGACAGCGCGCGCGGGTAGAAATTTTGAAAAGTCGTGCAGGTGTTTTTCGAGGACCTACGGTGCGATTCGTGTGATTTTATGATGCGCGGTGCTAAAATTCTTAAGAACCCAATGGTTTTTGGAGATTTCGGCGTGCGCGCGCGAAGAAAAAACGAATGTGTCCCGCATGGTATTATTTGACAGGGATGATGGCCCTGGCAGGTGCGCAACCGTTGTCGCAGAAGTTCGAAAAAGTTGCTCGCAAAAGCCCGTTTGACAGAAATGTTTAAAAAGTGTTGGGTTTCCTACGAATCCGCAAGAGCGCGCGGGATGAGATTTTGACATTTTTTTGTTGAAAAACCATTGGTTTTTTGATGTTTTTATGTTAAAATCGCTCCGAACACTAAGCTTTTGGAAGGATTTCGTCTTGCGCGCGCGAATGTCCACTTTACCTTATTTTTTGCAAGGGATTCTTGAAATTTGATTATATTAGAACAAGAAATGTCATTTTATAGTGTTTTTTGCAAGGGAAAACGGATTACAACAAAACAACCGGATCTGGACCCCATCCACTTTTCTGAAGCTTTCGCGAAAAAATGATGAAAATGTAGCTGCGGCCTAGGCGCGGCGGGGGGGCCGTGCACCAGGGGTCCCAACAATAATTATTCTTTAGAATTAATAATGTTCAACAACAACGACTACAACGAGGACAACAAGAACAAACGACTATTGGCGACCAAGGGAAAGCGAGCGAACATCGACAACAAACCACGCGCAATCCGACAACATCTTGCCGTCGCCGCGCCTCGGGACGACAACCGGGACCGCCCCGATATTTCGATTTCAACGCAGACGCGCCCGCTCGCGAATACAGCCGACGACGCGACGGCGACGGCGGCGACGTCGACGACGAAAAAGACAAAGCGAACAACCGACAGCCACAACAACAAACGCAACGTCGACAACCGACGAGTCGCGCCCCACGGAAAACATACGACCATCGACGACGACGACGACGACGCAAGCCGCCCCAATTCGTTCACACCATCGTGCTCTACGAAAAACAATCAATGATTTCACGCCCCCCGCGAACGCGCCCGCCCGCGAGGAAGACGCTGACAACAACAGCGACCCGCCCGCGAGGAAGCCGCTTCGGTTTTCATCCAAAGTCGGTTTCCCCAAATGTTTTGATAGTAATACTGCAGCTACGGACCTGAGAATTTTACTTGCAGACGCGGCATAACCCACTACAGGTGCGAAATATACCGATTCTCAAAACGAATGTCCAAACTGGGGGCCGGCGGTGAACCGTCAACCTTGTTTTTTTTTGGGTTTGCGCGGGCTCCGGGGCGCTGTCCGCAGCGACGCCCGACTGGGCGCCTAGCGAGCCTAGCATGTCTAAGCGGAGGGCGCGTGTGAGCGCCTCGGCGGCAGCCAGTTCACCATCTGTGATCGTGGAGTGCGGTGGTAAAAGGAAGGCACTGGAGGCGATGCCCCTCCAAACGAGGGCATCACGTGGCTCACTCCCTGGGACCCTCCTGCGGGCTATCTGTCGAGAGCCGAATGGAGAAGGAGTGGCGTGGTAGGTCGGACCCCACTGACTGTAATCCAAGAAGCCTTTCTGCAGCCAAAAACCACATCCGCAACCGTTGCCGCCCACTCCCCCATCGTATGCCCCACGATAGGCGACGTGTATAAGATATTGTGACTCAATCGGACTGCATGCAACCTGATTGGAGTAGAAAGTGCGGCCCTCTCGGGCCAGGTGGGTGAGCTCGTCGGCCCTGGTGTTATCTTCCCTGTACTCATGTCGATATATGTCCCGTCCTATGTTCGCCGCGCGGATGTTCGCACGGCAGCTCAGCTCGTATACGGTCTCCACACACTCCGCAACTCTGTCGGCATAACCCTGATTCTGGCACCTCCACCCCCCTTGGAGCCACGATGCGACCAGTAGTGAGTCCCCTTGGAGGTCCACGCCTATCCCCTCGCTCAAGACGTCCCAAACCGTAGCACGCTGACATATAGTGGCCAAACGCTTGGACTGTTTCTCCAGGGCCTCAGGAGTCGTTCCCTCGGTGGACTGCTTGGCCTCGAACTGGGTGGAGCTCCAGCTGGGACCTGTGGTGGCAACGTACCAGTATTCAAAGATTTTGTGTTTATCGAAGTGTCCCAAGATCGTCCGCCACAATTTCACAAAGCCTGTGTATGTGTCGTGAAAGCTGTCCCACCAGGAGGGTCCCAAGACTTCCCTATACGGGTATTGCCAGGTCCGTTGACCTATACTCGTGGGACCGAATCGTCTCCTGGTGCCCGAGCGTGTCAGTGAGAGCTGTCCCGATGCATGCAAACAAGATGTCAGGTCGTCTCTCCGAGACGTCCACTCAGGATTGTCGAGGAGCAAAGTGCCTCGGCTGTCCAAAAAGGTACGTGAGCACCGTCCGTCCCCTCTGTCGATCCTCCGTCTCACATCCCTCCCATCCTCCGTATCCGTCTCCCTGGTTCGAGTCATCTTGACAGATGCTGACGGTTTTCTGTACTTAACTCGGGCTGTAGGACAGCCACAGAGCTGGTATTCACAGAAACGCATTCATAATCATCGGGCGCGTCTGTCTCTAGCATCCAGGGGTCTGAAGTCGGTCTACTACTCGAGCTAGGTCGCGAAACTATTCGTACTCTACGAATCTTGTTGGCGGATACTGTCGATTTCCGGTGTTTAACTCGAGCTGTAGGAGAGCTACAGAGCTGATACGCATACGTAACCAATTCAGAATCATCATGCGCGTTCGTCTGTTGCATCCAGAGGTCTGAACTCGGTCTGCTACTCGAGCTAGGTCCGCGTAACTATTCGTAGTATTCGAGTCATCTTGACAGGTGCTGTCGGTTTTCTGTACTTAACTCGGGCTGTAGAAACGCTTTAGAGCTGGAACTCACAGAGACCGAATCAGAATTGTCAGGCGCGCTTGTCTGTTGCATCGAGAGGTCTGGACTAGGTCTGCTTCTCGAGCCAGGTCCACAAAACTATTTGTATTCTTCGAGTTCTCTAAACAGGCGCTGTCGGTGTTCTGTACTAAACTCGAGCTTCAGCATAGCCACAGAGCCTGTACGCACACATAATCGATTGAGAATCACAGGCGCGTTCGGCTGAAGCATCTAAAGCTCTGAACTCAGTCTGCGACTCGAGCTAGGTCGCAAAACTCCTCGTATTGGACCGATTCTGTTCGAAATTACGGTGAATTTCTTCACCTAACTTGAAAGTTCTTTGGCACATTAATGAGATGGAAATCATGAGGCGCCGCTTGGCTAGATCTGTTCAGCACAACAATGGGAAGGGAATTATCAGCGGCAACAGTATCTAGACGCCTGAGATCAGTCTGCTATCAGCGCTCGGGCTGAAAAAATATTCGTCCCCTGCTACTTCTTTGGACATAATATATGGAAAGGAAGCTCTACGAGTCTCCCGGCGGTAAGAAAGGTTGACGGTTTACCGCCGACGCCCAGTTCCTCGTAGCTCTTTGCCGAAGAGCTCTACAAGGTCCTTGTTGTTCCCGGAGAGCTCTCTGAGAGCTAGATGGTTTTGGAGTAGAAGCCGGACGGTGGTGGTGCCCGCCAGGAGCTCCTCCACGGCGGTCCACGTCCGCCGCAGCAGTTCGCCCGAGCCGGCAGCCCGTCCGGGAGCGCTTCCGGCGCGCGTCCACGCGTGCCTGCACGCGCGCAGGCACGCGTGGAAGCGTTCCTGGCAGCGCCTGCGAAGCGCTGCAGGGGAGCCCCCCAGAGCTCTCCAGGAAAGATTTCCCGTTCCCGAGGGTCTCTTCGCTCTCCGGGTTTTG